CGTTTATCAATCTAACATGTTAAACTTTTATTAAAACTTTGTCAGAGGTTGAGATATCTCACAATCTTTGACGAAAATTTAATAAGTGAAACATGTTAAGTTGATAATCGTTTCCTATTTGATCATTATCTTAGTATTCTGTCGGATCCCGATTCATATTTGATCTATATTTGATTCTAACTCATATATATATATATATATATATATATATATATATATATATATATATATATATATATATATATAGATAGATAGATAGATAGATAGATAGATAGATAGATATAGTTTTTGTTAAAACTCTGAATTGTGCATGTAACTCTGAATTGTGCATGTAACTCAGAATTGTACCATACTGAAAAACTAAATGTATATTTATTGCTAGTATATATATATATATATATATATATATATATATATATATATATATAAAGAAATGCATAGAATTTCCTACATGTTTGGCTGGAAATTAAAAATAAACTCTATAAAATTTGTTGAAACACGATCCCAATATCATCATTTATGTGCCTTACCCCTTCATGGTCCTCCACAACGTCCAGTCACTTATAGTTCTCAAAAATGTTTGATTTTTTTAACCCCCCCCTCTTTTTCAATGTTCTGGCATCCATTCACACAAACTTACAAGGTAAGCTGATCAATATTTCTCTTTACCCTCTCTTCTACGTCTTGTAGGTATTATATTTTCCATACCGTCCTTTCTCGTCGGTCTCAGAAATTTCAATTTGTTTTTTTTTCCTGAATTTAATAAAAGTGTCTTTCTAGTTGCTATTTCTGTTTACATCTTTCTCGTTGCTTATATGTTTTGTCCTCCTGTCTATAGAAGCACATAATCATCGCTTCAAGTCTTTTTTTCAACTTTAAGGAAATTGTCCAGAATACATATATGACATAGCAGTTCAACACTCTTTTCTTTGCTTCTGACAAAATATCCCTATGTTTTAATACTTTTTTTTTTTTTTAGTTCATGGAAGACATATTTTTCTCTTGCGATACGCCTTCAGGTCCACTGTGTCACAGTTTTCTTTGTCATTGCATTACGAAGCTGATTAATTTTTAAAAATCTGGTTCGGAGATTACAGAAGTTCTTTCCCCCACTCTGTCTCTGTCTCTCTGTCTCTGTCTCTCTCTCTCTCTCTGTCTCTCTGTCTCTCTCTGTCTCTCTCTTTCTCTTTCTCTCTCACTTTCTCTCTTTCTTAATCTCTCTTTCTCCCCACTTTCTCTCTCTCTTTCTATTCCTCTCACACTTTCTCTCTTTCTCCCTCTCTATCATTCTCGATACTGTCTCTGTCTCTTTCTCTCTCTCTTTCTCCCGTTCTCTCTTTCTCCCTCTCTCTATCTTTCTCCCCACTGTCTCACTTTTTCGCTTTCTCTTTCTCTCTCACTTTCTCTCTTTCTCCCCACTGTCTCTGTCTCTGTCTCTGTCTCTGTCTGTTAACGTAAAATAAATCTAATAACATAATTTGGCCAAATGCCGAAACAAATAGTTTTACACACATAATTCATGAAAGCTTATAATTTGGCCTCATGTAAGAGAATTAGAGGTGTCTGTCTCAGGTGAGGAGATCGCCCGGCGTATATTTTAAAATTGTATCTCTAACTATGCCGTTATTATCTCGATTAATCATCCCACGAAGATAATCTCGGTAGAAATATATATATATAACAGCACATGGTCAAGATATTTCTACCAAACTATTAGATACTCACCTAGAGCATTAAAATATTCTGATGAATGATCCTGTTACTTAACGGAAAACACCCATAAGGAAATATAACAATTAATATATACATATCAGTCTTTCAGAGACCGGAAAACTACTTTAATAATTATACATAGCCTAAATTAATAATTAAAAAATAAGTAGTCACCATAATAAACCTTATTATTATTGTACACACTTATCAGATAGATAGATAGATAGATAGATAGATAGATAGATAGATAGATAGATAGATAGATAGATAGAAGGAAGGAAGGAAGGAAGGAAGGAAGGAAGGAAGGAAGGAAGGAAGGAAGGAAGGAAATGTACTGGGATTGAAAAACATATATGAACATACTGGTAAAATACATAGACTAATAGATAGATAGATAGATAGATAGATAGATAGATAGATAGATAGATAGATAGATACTGGGATTGATACACACATATGAACAGATAAATAAAAAACAGATGGCATAGATAAACTCGTGGAAACAGACAATAAATAAATACATAGAGGAAAATCTCTTGGGATTATTACACACATATGGACAAATTAGTAAAATAGATGGTCAGATGGGATAGATACACACACATAAATAGACTGGATAGATAGATAGATAGATAGATAGATAGATAGATAGATTAATTACTATCTGTCTTTAGCAAATGTATAACAGCTGCCTCGGTCATTCAGATTTCTGAGCAAGTATTTCACCTACTATGATTTCTATAACCAGTAACATTTTTGTAAAATCAGCATTTATTGACTTAAGCAA